GTCTAGTCTTGTTTATGTGGCATTTAAATAAACCCAAGTTTTTGATGACATGAATAAAACTATATAAAATTAATAAAATTCACTCCAATGCAAAGAGACTAGTTCTCTACTTGGGTCCAAAATAGACTTAAGGGGAGACCGAGTCTCTTTTTCTGGCTGCCACTTCAGCAAGACCCAGTCTACTTTTATATCCATTGGAGAATATATTTTTTTAGACTGAGTCTATTTCTTAGGTGGTATATAATTTGAGTTTGAACCCAAAACATTGTGGATGCTCTTAGAGAAAAAAGTTATGACGTAAAATAATAGGAAGAGATATTAATTAATAGATGCACTAATTTGAAATATCACTTGTACATTTTTTTTTTTATTAAACATTTTTTTACATTGTTTGTAAGTTGTAGTAAAGTAGGGTTAAATTGGAGATTTGACTAGTGGGGACTTTGAAAAAAGAGATAATATTCCTTTGATGGTGTGTGGCGGTAAAAGCGACAGCGTACATGGGAGGACCACGGAGAGCCTTGCGGTGGTTCCCACGTGGCGAAGGCCTACAGATTTTGCTGGGATTATTATTTTTTTAGTTAGTTGATGGTGATGTGGCGAATGGCCTTGATTTGATATTATGCTGACATGGCTTGTTATAGTCCAATGGAAGGGGCATTGTCCCACGTGATGGGCACGTGACGGTGCTTGGGAAATGAGTACGCGTGGTGAAAATAAAGAAGGAAATAGAATTTTGATGGGACAAATGAGCCTCTTTACGCGTGGTGAAAATAAAGAAGGAAATGGAATTTTGATGGCACATCATTTTTATATTGTGATTAATCTCTACATAATAAATAATTTGTATTTACACTATTCATGTGTAACTAGGTTTTAAATTTAACTCGAGGTAATTGAAAAAAATTGATTAAAATGTATATAATGTGATATGTACAGGTAGATAAATTTTGATTTTTACACTTTTTTTTTTTATATTTACATGTTACAGTAATTTTTATACAGCATTGCACAAATTTACTAACAAATATTATCAATATCTTAGGGTGCAATAGGATATAACCAATAAACTTTTTTACCACCAATTATTATTTTACTAATTGCATTACATACTTTAATTGTTACATGTTCAGTTTACATCCATAAACCTAAAAATGATACTGTAAATGCGAAAAAATATTCAGATACAACGGCGACCCATGTAAGTAAGATTCACTCTTTTAAGGAGAGCCGTGCATTTTGGACCTTAACCGAAAGCTTCAGCTTCTCATCCTCCACGTCTCGGAAGAGTGCCAGTAGAATCGTGCGATACACTTCACACTTCTGATTCGTACGTTCAAGATCGGCAGTCAGTTCTTGAATCTTCTTCTCCTTCTCTTCCTGCAATAACTAAATAGCCTTAAAACAGACACAAAGCCACTCGATTGACTAAAAGCTCGATATAAGCACCAAAATGGCACTCAAAACGAGTTTGCTTTTAAAGAAGCAATACTCACACAGTTTACGTGACAGTCTTGCAAATGCTAAGTAAGAGCCTGCTATTGATCCAGTCAAACAAATATACAACAATAAAAAAAGAAATAAGAAAAGAAACTTCACAAGTAGCTAACCCTTGATAAACAAGATGACGATTCATTTTCGGTTGCATGCATCTCATTATTTCCTCCATTCGCCTCGCTCGCCCCTTTCAAAGTTCCAGCATTTTTACTCTTTACAGAAGCAACTTTTTTCGAAGCCTCTTGGAGTGCATTCATAGCCACATTATAAACACGAATGGACTTAGCACCTTCCTCAACATACTTCATAGCCTCCAGACGCAAATTACTAGCCCTCACCACCCGAGACTCTCGGCAATTTCCGGTCAACCCAAAATCCCCCGACCCTGGCCCGCAATCCCCTGCACTCGCCTTCGCATTCCTCGTCCAACGTCTCAACACAAACTCACGAGGGAGCACGAGCACGTTCTTCGCCCGAAAAACCGAGAGCACGTGCCTGCAAACAATACCCGAAAATTCAAACATCCGGCAACTACACGCGGCTTTCCCATCACAGAACCTAACCGTGTGAGCTTTGAGCTCTTCCCCGAATTTCGCCACCCGATACGTTATCACGCCCCCGGATTCGTCGACCACACTCGCGGGACTCGCGAGGGTCTCGACTAATTCGTCTTGAAATTTGACGAATATCCTCCGTGTGTAAAGCCCGGCCGCTTGCTTTTCCATAGGCGATGGAGTTTTCAAAACAGGATTAGTATTGAGAGTGTCGAAATCGTCCCTCGACTCGTTTTCCTGCCAGCTGGCGACAGCCTTCTCGTAATCTCTGATCCACGACTGCGCCGATGTACTCGACAGCTCATCAAGGAAAAAACTCTCGTCACGCTCAGCTGCAAATAGGTCTCCGAAAAATGAGTCCCTCAGATAAACCGGGACCCACTGCTCCCGAACACTGTACAACGATCGAAGCCACTCGTTATCCATCACGTAGTACCGAGCGAGAAGGCTCTCCCAGCACGATTCGAATTCCTCGGCTGAGTCAGCATCGTTCACGCACTTTTTCAGCTCGTGGTCAAAAGTGGGGTCCACCTGGCAGACGTTACTCAGTTTATGCTGCGTCTGTCTGAAAATGCTCCACCTGCAGAGACGGGTGCGCGTGTGCGGGAAAACTCGAGCGGCGGCTGTCTGAACGAGCCGGTCGGGCTCGATCGTGATGGAGACGGGACTCTGTCCAGACATTGCGCCGAGCCATGTTTGGAAGAGCCACGCGAAAGAATTTTCGGACTCTTTCAAGAGCAGAGCACAGCCGAAAAGAACGGGCCTGGCGTGGTGGTTTAGGCCCGAGAAAGTGATTAAAGGTATCCTCCGGCGGTTCATTCTGTACGAGGTGTCGACTCGGACAGTGTCACCAAAAAAAGTGTAGTTTGCGCGGGAAGTCGTGTCGGCCCAGAAGACATTCCCACACTGCTCAGTGTCGTTTTCGGTTGCATAGAAGAAATCGGGATTCTCGGTTTGCATTCTTTTGAGATAGTCAAGCAAGTATTGAAAACCGGGGCCGAGGTTTCTCGGTTTATTGCTGGTATTATTGTTCATTTGGTGTGACGGGGGTTGTTTTGGATTATAAAACTGAAAATGAGGGATGAATGCTGTTAATGGAATAATGAATATCCTTTGACAAGCTATTTAAATTTATGAAGTGCTTGAGCAGACTCTTATTCATGCAAGTTGTAGTAAGCCAGATAGAAAAACAGATAAGAATTCGAGATGTGACGATATATACATATACATACATATATATACTCCACTATCTTCTTATTTCACGATATGAGCATGTGAACATATTTCAGTACAAACCCACAGAATGACTACAATATCACTGGATTATATCTGATTAACAGTTATTATTAATACCACTGGTTTAGATTAGGATTCCTAGGAAAAAAAAAATACTGTTAGCAAGTTCTATATAGGTCAAGCAAAAATAGTGTCGAAATGGTACTCATTCCAAATTCTATATTAGCTCAATTTTCTGAAATTTATCTTTGTATTCATTCCCATTCAAACACCACGGAATGCCATGAAATCCTCATAACCTAATAGTCCCTTCACAAATCCTACTTAAAATCATCTGCAGCGACATTTATTCTGAAAGCTAGAGTGATGGCAAAAAAAAAACTTGTGCACCATATAATGTGATACCTCTGGGCTCTGGGTCAATAGTAAATTACAAATGAAGTCTATTGTAACACACAGCAAACAAGTAAATAATTCCGCAACACAAAAACAAAGATTTAGTATATATTTCTGAAGAGGCAACACTAATTGGGGAGAAAAAACCCATATATAATGTCTACGAACAGCCAATATAATTTCTACTTCCCAACAAAAAGCTTCCATGGACATCCCACAATTTCAGTTCAAAATTTCATCCGACAATAACTTCGATTTGGATTCTCCCGTGTCAGCCAAATATTCGTTAAATTCTTCTCTTAGCAATAAAACTACAAACTGTCATTCCTCAGATCCTCACTTGAAATTATATCTTCTGATGCTGGAACTTACTAATAATTTCAAACTAACAGTTTTAGCTAAGATGAGATATGTACTAACCACTCATACAATACCTATGAAACAAAACTCAGAAGTTGAACTATATTCATTAAATAAAAAACCAATCTTGAAACAATAATTATACACAGTGTTCTCAAATTCAAAACAAAGGGGGGTAAAAAAATGAGTGATGAGCTCATTTTTTTAGCTAAAGAGAGCCAAAACACAATCTCAAGTCCCAACCCTTAAAATTTGTAATAATATACCATCAGCAACGCAATTTTCTAACATCACACATAACTAAAGCACTATCAACACAGGGAAAACAAAAGAAGACAGATTTATGAGTGCTTACAGGGAATGACAATTACATTCAGGTAGCTCAAAAGCAGATTTGCATAAGAAAATGATAGAAATACTCGAATTGTAGGAGCTAATTCGAGTGTTCGACGAGCTTTTGAAGGAGAACACGATTACAGAGAACGCACGATACAGGCGTGAGGATAGCCGGAGTGAATTCAGTGTTTTTTTTTCTTTGTTTCACTGGAAAACCTAATTTTGATTTTTGGTCTTGTAATGGCATTTTCTACAATTTTTGGTTTTACTTATTGCTCCTAAATCCTAATACATTTTTATTTATTAATTTTTTTTTTTTATAAAATTCACTAATAAGAAGAAAAACCTTGTTTACCAAAACTATTGAAGTGAACATAACCACGACTAGAGGTATTAAATGAAATGTGTTTGGCCTTAGAATGGAAAATTTTATATAATGACTTGACTTGTTTATTCTCACCATTAAAAAACAATGATGTTCCCTTGAAAATTGAATAAAAAATGACTTTTAAAAGTATAATAAATTGAAAATAGGAAAACTTATTTTTATTGGAATTGTCATGTTTACAAAAAGAACAGAGAACAACTAAAAAGTATAAACAAATTCAGGCATTTTCTTGTGTTAAAACTTAAAAGGGGGGTTTTTGACAGTATATGTAGCTAACTCCAATATATAAACCCAATTTTATTGCGACCTAATTTTAATCCCATCCCAATCTCAAAAGTCAAGCAACGCCGGAGCCTAGCCGTCCCTACCGATCCACACCCATCTCCCCGCCGTCGCAGGCCGGAAATTTGACGTCGGGAAGCTCAATCGGAGTCTGCAAAAATCACCTGCCATTGCTGATTCATCTTGTTTTACGATTTGAACTCAAATACACGTTTGTGGTTAAAATAAATCCTTGACTATAGACATCATAAGAATTGTTGTCATTATCGGAAACCAGTAGGACCGTTTAATTGATTTGGTTGCTTCTTTCGGGACGGTTGAGATATCGGTTAGACAAGGTCCCAAAGTTGTTTGATCTTTTCTAGTAATCGAGGAAATTCAGAAGCTGTGGTTTTGAGAATTGTGGAGGTTATCTGAAGGCCTAGCAGATGGCTAGCATTGAGCCCTTCAATCGGTAATACACTCAATGATCAATGATCAATCTGTGATTGTTGAAGCAGCTTGGGAGTTATTGACTGACACTTTTCTTTTACTTTCTATTTTTCTGTTTTTTATGTGTAATGTGTAAATGAGTAGTCTGGTGAAGCTTGCGGCAAGGGCATTCTATGAAGACATTACAACTAAGGGTGAAAACCAGCAAAAGGCTGGAAGAAGTGATAACCGAGGGATTGCCGTGGTCATTCTTGATGCACTTACTAGGTAGTTTTCCGTGCTCGTGTGTGGATTTTGCCAAAAAAAAAAAAAAAGGAAAATTGTGTTGTGTAAGTTTCCATGGAGTGGTGGTTTGTGTATGGTTCATTTGAGTTCGCTGAAGTCTTGTTAGAGAACTATAGTACTTCCTCTACATATTATGAAAGTGGGAAGAACTGAAGAGAAAGTATATTTTGAGTAATAGAGTTTGGAGATTAGATGAATAATTTATGTTCGGATATGCCTTTATGTCGAACTTGGAGACTATTTTGTACACGTTTGCTTGATTAAGTAAAATATGTTTTCCACGTATTTGTTATATACTGTTTACAGTAATAGTAGTTTTAAAGGAAGTAATAAGTGCACATAGTAGGTTCTATTCTTCTTTTGCATCACTTGTGCTCATGTTCTCAATCCTCCAACATGATACATAATGGTAAACTATATTTGGTTTATGTTCAGACGCCAGTGGGTTAGGGAGGAAGATTTGGCTAAGGACTTGAAGCTTCACACAAAGCAACTTCGTCGGACACTGAGATTTTTTGAAGAGGAAAAACTAATTACCCGTGACCACCGGAAGGAGGTTTATTTTTCTGGTTCAGCATAATATCACAAATGTTTGTTCTATTTTTTTTAACATTATTTCTAGTAATTTTTACATGTCTCTCCTTAATCTCTTTCATTATTTGTATTTTAGACGACTGATTTGTATACATAACTGCCGATCAACTGGATATAAGTGCCTGTTGTGGAGAGGCGTATTTGGAACCTTTTTGCAGACACAATCATAGATATTATGTGTAGTGGTTTCTTTATACTAAAAATCGCAAATTTGGGCAATCACATGTATGGAAAGTTTGGAAGTATGTTTTTTAACTCCTTTTTTGTATGTAAAGGGACCATTCCAATTGGCCACTAGTTATTTGGAAAACTATATTCTTGTAAAAACTCTCTGCTTCTCAAATTTGAGTTGTCTCTGGGATTCACATACATTGAATTAAAAACATTTTTTTTTAATGTATGAAATCTGTTTATAGATGCTTTATTTGTAAGTGTTGGGTCTCCATTCGTGCTTCTCCTTGATTATAATTCTTGTTTACGTTGTTGCTTGATTGATATTATGCATATCCTTCAGACGTCAAAAGGAGCGAAAATATACAATGCTGCAGTGGCTGCCACAGTAGATGGTCAAAAAATTGGAAGAGAAGGCGATGAGAAGCAAAAATTGCATACCCAGTCATACTGTTGTCTAGATTATTCTCAGGTTCTTTACTCCATATATTAGTTCATTGTGAACTGATCGGTTGTTTGGTGTAAACTGATATAGCACAACAACTAATATTCAATATCTCTTTTCTGCATACTAGTTGATTGCATTTTCTATAGAGGACAATGTTGGATCTTTGTTAATTGCGAGTAATTTTAGTTTCGGATCGGATATATTTTATCTGCATCTTTTGTTCTTTTTGTAAAGGCTGCATTTGCCTGGGACTCCGTTTGATATAACCGTTTACATTAATAACCTTGCAGATATATGATGTGGTGAGGTACAGATTACATCGCATGAAGAAAAAGCTGAAGGATGAAGTGGAGAGCAAAAACACAGTTCAAGAGTATGTTTGCCCAAACTGCAACAAGAGGTATTTTCTGCATTCACATTTCCTAAGGTTGCATTAGATGGAAGGGTTCAAATTTGGGGAAAGATTTCAAATTAATTTTGTATAGGAGAATTGGGAAATACAACCAAATGTTTCCAAAAACAATTCAAAATGGATGCTTGAGGATTTCCAGATAAACACGTGGAGTTGAAATCCTTGCCTTTGAATCCTTCCTGCCAAATGTTGTACTCCCTCCTATTCTTTATATTTTCACTTTGGCTTTATTGGCCATTAATAAAATAAATGTCGTTTTGGATTTTTTATACATATTTTTCCATTGTTACCCTCATTTAACTAATACACTACACGTTTTTGGAGGAGAGTTGTGGAATACGATGAGTTTTTTTCTCTTAAAAGAACATAAAAAAAGCTGAAAAGAAACAAATTAATTAATGCTAATTTGCTCTAAATAAGGCTAATATTGGCAAGAAAAAAAATTCTCAATTTATGTGTTAAAGCACAAAATGACATTTAAAAAGAATAGGAGGGAGTATTAGTTTTCCTCCATTAGAATTCTACAAGATTTGAGTTGCTTTTATCTTTGTGTGTATGTGTGTGTGTGTGTGGCTCGTGCATTTGGATACATTGCAGATATAATGCCCTTGATGCACTCCGGCTTATCTCTCCGTATGATGAGTACTTCCACTGTGAAAGCTGCAATGGAGTGCTTGTGGCCGAGAGTGACAAGTTTGCAGCTCAAGAAATGGGAAATGGTGATGATAATGCGAGCAGGCGTCGTAATGACAAGTTGAAAGACATGCTCAGGAAGATGGAGGTTTATATTCTTGTAAAATTCATGTGTTTTTTCGGTCATCTACTTGATAAGCTCTGTTTTGATATAAAGATAATGATGCTAGTATTTAATCTGTTTGTGTAATCTTTTTTGGGCAAGACATTGATATTCTATTTCGACCACATTGGAAATTGAACATTTATTGAACCAGCTGATGAACTTAATCAGAAGTTATTCTGGGACCTATCAATCCTGAATAAATTGACGCCAAAATTATTTAACAAAACACAAGTGATTGTCTTTGTGAAATTTGGTATAATGTAATTGACGCCGAAATTCAACGTTTTTTTTTTTTTTTCAATCGATATCTCTTCATGGGCAAGAGTTAGAATCTATTGCTTCACTCTTTTTCAAGTGAATAAATTATTTTTATTAAGTTAGCTCGTTTTGTACTTCTGTGCCCCTACCAATACTAAATCTTGAAAGTGTTTTGGAGTGTAGGAACAACTCAAACCACTGATTGATCAACTTGGCCGAGTTAAGGATTTGCCTGCACCTGAATTCGGAAATCTTCAAGCTTGGGAGCTTCGAGCAAATGCTGCCGGTCGTGCTCTGAATGGAGACAATGCCACTGATCCCTCTAAATCTTTGCATAGTGGAACTCCTATGCCTTATGTTGGAGAGACCAAAGTAAAACAACTTTGTTTAAAAAAGCCTTCTCTTTTTCAGTCCTTATTTGTTTATAAATATTCTGGAATAATTGATTTCCAGAATTAGATCTCCAACCAAATGTTGTTAATTTTTCTTATCATCCTGCTAATTCGAATAAACTTACTGAAGAAAACATTTTGTACTTATGGCAGGTTGAAGTTGCATTCTCTGGTGCCGATGATAAAGGAGAAGTTAAAGCAGCAACTTCAAATACACCTATGAAGGTCTTGCCTCCATGGATGATCAAGGAAGGCATGAATCTCACCAAGGAGCAACGAGGGGAGGCCAATCCCGAGGCAAAGGTGCCTGCTGATTCAAAAGCTTCTGAGCTTCGTGATGATAAGAAGTCATCTGTAAATGACGAAACGAAAAATTTACAGGTTCAATTTACAGCTTTTATATGCGCGTCATTTTTTTTTTTTTTTTTTTCNATTTTTTTTTTTTTTTTTTTTTCTGCCTAAATGGTTTTATACGGGTTTCAGGGTTTTGCTGTTGATGACCTTCTTTCTACTATATTCAATTCTTTTTCGGATCTTGTGTGTAGGATGAATATGTAAAAGCTTATTATGCTGCTCTACTTAAGCGCCAACGTGAACAAGAAGAAGCAGTCAAGAAGGAAAAGGAGTCATCAAGTATCGAGATCTCAAACAATATACACTCCATGACCTCCGAGCGACAGGTTGGCGTGAAATCCAAACGTGATGAGTTTGAAGGAGATGATGAAGTTGAGTGGGAGGAAGACCCACCAGCAGGTAATACCTATCCTGTATCTAATCAAGAGAAACTTTGGCATTAGACGAGCTTTTGTTTGATGAACCTATAAAATTAATTAACTCTGCTCCAATCAGTCAACTCGATCGAGACACGAAAAAATTTAAAGTAGCACATCCGAACAATTGAGTCAATTGGTTAGGTGAATGTGCTAATTTTTGCAACACATTTTGAGATTCTTTTGTGAGATTTAACAATTGGGTCGATTATGTTTCTTCTCAGGTAGCACATCCGAACAATTTAAAGTGAACGACTTAAATGTTGAAGCAGATGCCGTTGAAGAAGACGAAGATGAGAATGACTGGGAGGACGGTTAAGGGAAGAATATGAAGGTGTGGGTTTTATGAAGACGCTGTACATTTGGAGTGCTTTTGTTTTTCCGAGATCAAACCTCATTTTAGTACTCGCGTGAATCAACCCGCATAGAATTTGGATTATCAAAACTCAAAAGTACTGCCTAATGTGTTGAATATGGAAAATCAGACCTCAGACGAACCCAAAGATATTCGTTAAGCGATGCGCTGAAACTGATGCAGCCGAAAGATGATGAGAATTTTGGATTTTCTTTCTATACTTCCATTTTTTATACACTGAAACTGATGCAGCTGAGCTGAGAGATGATGAGAATTTGGAACTTTTTTCTGTACTTCAATTTTTATACGGCAAGTTCTTGTATGCTGCCTGGACATTATTTCCACTTGTTTTTCTTCACAGTATTGTTCAATTTATAGCTCTTGGAGTGATGAATAGATGATAATGGGAGGTAATCCTTGGTATTAGGATCACTTGGTTTGCAATGGAACATTTACAACTTGTTTGGAATTGAAGTGGACTTTCGATTTTGAATTCCATTTAAACAACAAAATTTGTTTGGTGAAAATTTAAAAATAGACTTTTGGAAAGCAACCTTTCAAAATGTCCATTTCAAAGAAGTTTAAGATAGATATATACCTTTTGAAAAGTCATTTTCAAAACCCTTATTTTTTAAATAGACTTCTCAATGAGGCCCCAAACAAGCACTTAATATATTAATTATAATTATTTAAAATTTTAACTTTAATCTTACATCTAGTCCCAATCCGAGTGAAAAAGTATGATTTTACATGAATTTGGCCACTGTAATAGAAAAAATAAATATACAGACATGTATTAATACCTTAGTTTATGAATGTTAGAGGGACTATGAAATCATTCGGTGGATTGACAGAATTTCTCTAGCGAGCTTTTGTCAAGGCAAAAAAAAAAATCATTAAACCCGAAATTATGGTCTTTACAATAATTCCTAGTTCTTACATTAACACCAAAGTATTATGTGATCCATTTTCTACACACAAAAATGCTAAGAAACAAACACATTTTTGTACAAGCGATCCTTTTTAAATTTGGTTTATTTTTATTTTTTTTTATTTTTTTTTATTTTTTTCATTCGCAGCATATTTTTCACATGTTTATTACATATACATGATGCAGATGGAGAGTGCCTTTGGCGGCGAGGCGGAGAAGATTGAGGATCAACTGCGCACTGTTTTCTTGAATTAGAATTGTGTTTTATTTATTGGAACAATGTAAATTT